GGCAGCGGGGAGGGTTCCGGCTCTGGGGGAGCCGGGCCGGCGGCGGGGGTCGGGTCCGCGTCCGTCCCCGGGCCCCGCGCTGGCCGGGCGGTGCAGGCCCCCGGGCCCCGCCCCTTCTCCGGGGTCCGGGAGGCGCCGGGGGCCGCAGGGAGGGAGCGAGGGGGCGCCCCGGCGCGGGAGGGGAGACCGGAGCGGGCGTCTCGGGCCGGGCGCGGACCCTCCGAGCGCTGGGACGAGCGGACTGCCCGCCTGAGCCTTCGGTCTGCAGAAGCGGGAGCGGGCGGCTACACTGCAAGGCGCAGAGTTACGTTGTTGAGCCAGGGCGGACGAGGAGAGTGTAGCTCTCGCCGTGTCCCCAAATTTGGCTCCTTGTTGGACGGAAAGTGTGGCTTGTCGCCAGGCGCACTGTTGTTGTTGTTGTTTTACTTGAAAAGGACCGACTTAGCTCCCTGACTTAAGCGAGATCTAGCCATTTTCTCTCCGATTCTCCTCCGACCCATGAGCCGTGTGGCTGGCTGCTGGATAAGGCGTCTTCTTCGAAACGAGTTTCTAAATTTACGAGCAATGTCCCGTTAGAGGCCAACCCACGTATATTCAGCACCAAATAAGACTGGCACGCGACTTTTTTAAATTTGTCTTTTTATTTTTTCAAACAAACTGGGCTTTGCTCTTTGAAGGGGTGGGCGGGAACGTGCTGTTTTTAGGAAAATGTCAAGGAACTTATCTGAATCACATTAAGCATGCTAATTACCAAATATTACATGCTAATTGCTCTACACGCATAGGTCTTTGCACGCCAAGGAAGGGAGCTGAAGCTGGTGTAAAACTACCGGTGGCATGAGAGGGATGTCTTTTGACTGACGTTTTGCGGCCTCCCCTCGGAGGTGGGAAGCATGTTCTCTGTAACCTCAGATGAGTAACAGGCTGGTGTTTACCAGCTGGTGCAAGCCTCAAGCCTTACAGCAACAACGTATCTTGGTTGGCTTTAAGCTCCTTTTACAGGGAAGGTGAGCCAAGACAAAAGAATTGCTAGGAGACGTCTCATACAAAGCTGTTTCAGGACACGAGGTCATTCAGTAGAGGGTCGCACAGCAGGTAAGATTCGGTCAACCCCTCTGTCCAGTTACCACAGGCTTGCCTGCGTTCAGTCCTGTACTGGGGTCATGGCATTTGCCTCACAGCCTGTACAACCTCCGTCAAGACATTTGCACCTCTGAGCTCTGATCGCTTGTTTACTTCTGTGCCCCGAGGCAGACTGTAAGCTCCATGAGACTAGAGCTGGCAGCACTGGGTAACAGGCTGAGTTGATGCTGGCGGCCTGGGCCCTAGTCCAGGCCCCTCGTAGTCAGCTGTCGCGGCTTTCTTCCAGGGACTGCACAGCTGAGACCAGACAGGGGCCCTGGCATTCCTGGGGCACTGCAAGGTCAGGATGTGGGGGGAGTGGAAGATCAAGTCCATCCCATGCCCCCTGGGAGCTGAACAAAGCTGCTCCCAGCATGCGTATCCTCACAAGAGAAGGAACATAAATGACATCTTATGGCCTCCTGTAGAGGAAGTGAAACCACGGTCTCCGCCTCAACACCAACAGGGAATGGGATCTCTGGGATGGTGTGTATAAGCAGTAGCTCAAACCTTCCAAGTTCAAAGAAGACAAAGGCCCTGAATAAAATACAGGCAGAAAAGTCCCTAGATGTACAGGACCATGATCCATCCCATAAATGCCACTCGACTTCAGATCACGAGGAGGAAACGCAGTGGTTCTGCCAGAAGTGGCCATATTGTGGAGCCCAGTTATTTAAAGCAGGCGGGGAAAACCAGGATGGAGGCAACCAAGGTATAGCATGAAATGTTTCCCCGAATTCAGACCAACGTGCATTTAAGATTCCGTTGTCACGTGTCACTGTCTAGCGGGTCAACTATCCCAACCTGTTAAAGTGTAGATAATATGTAAAAGGGGGGAGAGGGGAGAGGACAGAGGTGGGCGACTGGCCACTGTCCAAGGTGGAGCTTCAGGGGGACCGCCGTGGGAAAGGTATGTGTGTCTGTCACCGGAGACTTTTAGCAGCTAGCACCTGAGGCATGTTTTAGGCACTGTGTTCGGCCAGGCTGACAGCTGTGGCCATGAGTGGGAATGAATTTGGCCACCGCATGGTATTACTTGGTGAAGATGTTTATGGCAAGCTGACCAAAGTGCCATAAAGAGCAGCATGCCTCCTTGAGTGAAGAGCCCTCCTCATAGATCCTCTCTCCGCCGCCAGCCCGCTGACCCTGCAACCTCACTCCTCCAGAGCCCAGGCGCAGTCCTCCGCGATTCCAAATCACCGAGCCTTTCCTCCGCAGGCTTACCCATCCTCCCACGGCCTTGGGGATCCACGTGCTGCCCCCATGGCTTGACACATCAGTGAATGGAAATAGAGCTGTTCTCCAAACATCCCCAAGGTTCAGGTCTCCATCCCGTGGCTCAGGAGTCCTGGACTTGTGGTTTCAGGGCCCGGCCAAGTTTCAAAAAACCCATCTGGGGACTGACGTTCAGGTTTTGCCAGCTCTTTCTTTTGCAAGGAATGACACTTAAAAAGACCTCAACTAGTACTACTGTTCATGGTCCCCATCTTTTTAGAAAACAAACGCACCAAAAACCATTGCCACAAAGACAAAACTAATAAAGATAATTTCCAAGTAAAGGACAAGGAATCGTTTTAGCCACGGAAGAAGCTGAACACATGGTCTTTGTTGTTCTCATTTCCCCCTTGGCCTGCGTGCGGGAAGCCCACTGCGGCCCGCTAAGCGAGGCCTGGGGCCCACCGCCCCGCTTACCGTGGTGGTCCTCTGACTCAGGCCACTGTGACAATCACCCGGAGAGTTTGCCGAGCCCGGCTCCCGAGGCCGCAGCTCCAGCCTGGTTGGCAGCTGTGGGGTGGAGCCTGGGTTTCTTTGTATTACAAGGTTCTCTGGACTTTCTCCCTTCCTCTTCCAGGTCCGACCCAAATGTGCCTTTCACGAAGTCTCCTCGGGCCATCCTCAGTAGAAAATGATTGCTCACTCTTAAAAATTCCCATCTGTCCATTTTTTAATCGCAGGGACTCTGAGATTTGGGGGGAGACTGCTTATTGTGCCTCACTGTCCATTCTCTCCAAACTGCATCAGAATCCTGGACTTTTAGGGGCACGTGGGCACGGAAATGACTTTCCCAGTAGCCCTTGCTGTGGCATGTGACCATAGGCCGGCCAATGGGAAGTGGAAACGGGCAACTTCCACGTAAAGGGAGGTGGGTGTGCATCTCCCACTCCTTCCAGCTGAATGGAATGCAGATGTGATGGATGGAGCCATGGCAGGTCCCCGTAACCCATGCGGTGGAAGCCCTACGTTCCTGTTGAGGATGGCAGCGCCACACTTAAGTGCCAGAGGGAGGACTGCAAAGTTGTCCCACTAGCTCTGGACCAACTAGGACTGAGGAGAGAGGAAAAAAACATCTGCTTTGCTAAGCCACCGACAGTTTGGCTTTCCTGTTGGTTGCGACCGTTCCAGTCCTGACTAGGCCAAATATCAGCCCATTTTGGGCCTGGGCTGTTCTTCGCTGTTCTGCCTGACTGGCTGCTCCCTGGCAGTGCGCCTGCTTTGGCTTCACGGCCCCTCAGGGGGTCGCACACAGCCAGCCCTCTCGATGATCTCTGGGAAGAATTTCTATGAAAATATGTTCTTTAAGTAGTTGCGAAAACAAAAATGATGGTATATTTTGTGCCTTCTTGGCTTAATATCCCATCTCGATATTAAAATCAAATGGAATTCTGAAGAAGTTCAATGCTCCATTATTAAGAAGAACATAAAAATGCAAATATACATGTTCAATAATGGTGCTTAACTAGAATGAATTTTGGAATGAGAAAAGATAGAAACTTTAAAGGTGAAAAACTGCAGAAGCATAAATCCAAGTTTGGAAATGAACACACACATAGTAGAAAGCCTTTCTACCAAAGCGTGAAAGCTTATCTCTGTGTGGTAGGATTACAGATGATATAATTGTTCTCTTTTCCTCATTTCCTACAGTGAACATGCTATTACTTTTTTAATTGGGGAAGTTAAAAAAAAAA